AATACAAAGAAGGTTCAGAGATACCTTCGTATGAGAAAGAGAACCTCAGGTGGGCATTGAGTGTGGGTCTATGCAGGTCATTTATCCCTCAGGTGAGGCCAGAGGGCTTCCTAATGGCAAGCATAGTATGTGAAAGATACAGAATAAAGGGAGAAAATGGATGAAGAATTTGCAATGGTTTCACTGTAGCTGTTATTGCAAAATCTTTGATTGAGAGGCACATTCCTGTTGCTTTTAAATGATTTCATTATTATTATTATTATTTATATCCCAACCAAAGTTTCCCCTCCCTGTCTGCTCCCAGTTCCCACCACCACCACCACCTTCCCTCTGCCCCCTACCCATCCACTCTTCTCCATTTCTCTTCATAAAAGGGCATCCCTTCCGTGGTTATCAACCAAACATGACCTATCAAGTTGCAGTAAGACTAAGCACCTCCCCTCTTTACCAAGGTTGGACAAAGGAACCCAGTATGAGGAATAGGGTCCCAAAAGCCAACAAAAGAGTAAGAGACAGCCCCTGCTCCCACTGTTAGGATTCCCACAAGAAGACCAAGCTATACAACTATAACATACGTGCAAAGTCCCCAGGTCAGTCCCCTGCAGGCTCCATGGTTATCAGTTCGGTGTCTTTGAGCCCCTATGAGCACAGGTTAGTTGATACTATGGGTTTCTGTGGTGTCCTTGACTCCTCTGGCATACCTACAATCTGTCCACCCCTTCTTCCACAGGATTCTCTGAGCTCAGCCTGGTTTGGCTGTGGGTCTCTGTATCTGTTTCCATCAGTTGCTGGATGAAGCCTGTCTGATGACAATGAGACTAGGCACCAATCTATGAGTACAGCAGCATGTCATTAGGCACCATTACAGTGAACAGTTTTTTCATTAATTTTTTACCCAGTCATGCTTGGTTCTATCCTAGGTCTCTGGGCTATCCAGCCTCTGGGTCCTGGCACTCCAGGCAATATCAGAGGTGGGCTCTCTCCCATAGCATAGGTCTCAGGCTGGACCAGTCATTGGTTGGCCACTCCCATAATTTCTGCACCACATTTACTCCAGCACATCTTGTAGGCAGGACAAATTTTAGGTCAACAGTTAGGTGGTTGGTTGGGTTGATGTCCCAGTCCCTCCACTGGTTACAGGAGATGTCCAGTCCAGGTTACATATCCTCTATTGCTAGGAATCTTAGCTGGGGTCACCCTTGTAGATTCCTGTGAGTTTCCATTGCACTGGGTTTCTACCTCACCTTGAAATATTCCCCTTTCCCAGTCTACTCTTCCAATACTGCCCGCCTCCATACTCCCCACATGTGATCTCTCCTGCTCCCATCCCCACCCACCCCCAGTCTACCCATGAAATCTATTCTTCTTCCTTCTCAGGGGGGTTCCAAGCATCTCTCTGAGCCCTGCTTGTTACTTGGCTTCTCTAGATCTGTGGATTATAGCATGGTTAGCCTTTATTTTACAGCTAATATCCACTTATAAGTGAATACATATTATATTTGTCTTGCTTGGTCTGGGTTACCTCATTTGAGATGATTTTTTTCTAGTTCCATTCATTTGCCTGAAATTTTCATAATGTCATTGTTTTCAACAGTTGAGTAATACTCCATTGTGTAAATATGCCACACTTTCTGTATCCATTCTTTGATTGAGGGACATCTAGGTTGTTTCCAGTTTCTATTTCTATTATGAATAAAGCTGGTATGAACATAAATGAGCAAGTGTCTTTGTGGTATGATGGAGCATCCTTTGGTTATATGCCCAAGAGTGGTATCGATTGGATCTTGAGGTGGATTGATTCCCAATTTTCTGAGAAACCACCATATTAATTTCCAAAGTAGCTGTACAAGTTTGCACTCCCACCAGCAATGGAGTATTCTGCTTGCTCCACATCCTCTCCAGCATGAGCTATCACTTGTGTTTTTGATCTTGGCCATTCTGACAGGTGTAAGATGGAATCTCAGAGTCCCTTTGATTTGCATTTCCCTGATGGCTAAGGGTGTTGAACATTCCTTGAAGTGTTTCTTGGCCATTTGAGATTCCTGTGTTGAGAATTCTGTTTATATCTACACCCCATTTTTTAATTGACTTATTTGGTTTTTGATGTCTAGTTTAATTTCTTTATATATTTTGGAAATCAGCCCTGTCAGATGCAGGTTGGTGAAGGTGTAGGCTGCTGTTTGTCCTATTGACAGTGTCCTTCACCTTACAGAAGGTTTTCAGTTTCCTGAGGTCCCATTTATTAATTGTTGATCTTAGTGCCAGTGCTAGTGCCAGTGTTCTGTTTGGGAAGTTGTCTCCTGTGCCAATGCATTCAAGGCTATTTTCCACTTTCTCTTCTGTCAGGTTCATTGTATCTAGATTCATGTGGAGGTCCTTGATCCACTTGGATTTGAGTTTTGTACAGGGTGATAAATATGGATCTATTTGCATTCTTCTACATGCCAACACCCAATTAGACCAGCACCATTTGCTGAAAATGCTTTTATTTTTCATTGTGTGGTTTCTGGAGTTATGTCTGGGTCTTCAATTTAATTCCATTGATCCACCTGTCTGTTTCTATGCCAATACCATTTGGTTTTTATTACTATAGCTCTGTAGTAGAGCTTGAAATGGGGGATGGTGATAGAGAGTTGCATTTCAATATAAGCAAGAATAATTATGAATAATCAAAGTTGGATAATTTGTGTCAGCAAAAATGAAAGTGAGAAATTCCCCTAAGTGATAACGTGTATTCTTCCTATCTTTCCACATAGCTTTCAGCCTGCATGCTGATAAATCTTAAATGTTTATCTCTGATCTTGATTTCTGTCCCAAGCTTAAACTTGCTTACTTAACACCTGACAACTCAAATTTGTCTCCTAAAATGAACTCTTCCGTTTCTCTGCTTCAAATCTTTAATTCTCAGATGGACAAAGTTATCTCACTTACTTTGTTGTTTATGCCAGTATTGGGCTAGGATACACTGACTTTCTTCATCTCCACTCATGTTGATTAGTGAGCCACTGATTCCAACAGCTTGAATGGCCCTCTGTTGTCTGTCAGTGGCCACTACCATGTTTGAAGTATTGTTTTCTTGTTTGCTCTGATCCCCTCCAATCCATTCTTCACCACAGGATAGTTTCAAACTGATACATCTCAAGTGGTTGCCTACTCAATGCCTGTGGTCCTTGACTGTGGGGTGGGTGGGGGGGGGCAGGGAGGGCAGAGCACACATCAGTTCTCGACTCAGACAGCTGAATGGGACTCTTTGGGAACTCTCCAGAGTCTTGGAATCTTTGAATTACTGGGTTCCACTTCCACTCTTCTTTGCCATTTTAAGAATTATCAACCCACAAAGCCAAGTAATGTCTGCAAGTTACAAGGGCATCATATCTTCTGGAGAATGCTTGCATTTAAATTCTATCTGTGGGTCTTTGGGTAATTAAGTTAGTTTTTATGTGCTCTGCATCTTCATTGGGAAAACCAAGATGCATGTGAACTAGCTTTCAGGTTTCCATGAGGTTCAAATAAACTACAGTTGAAGTGGCAGCCTTTAGCACACCTTACCAACCATCCTGGTTCTCTTCTGCTTTGTTGGCCAATAGTTGTACTTCACCCCATCACTGAAAAATGATCACCTGATTGTTTTAAGTCAATGGCACACAAGCACAAACAATGTGCATCACTTCCAACAGAAGCTTAGAAAGAGGAGTCTAAATGCCCTCTTTTCTGCTGCCACAACAACCGCAGAAGGGCATGTTGAGACTAGGAATGTCTAATATAGAAGCAGTGCAGAATCCTAGATCAAGATATGCCAAGCAGCTGCCCTGAATATGTAAGAAAGAAATAACTGTTTATCGTTCTAAGCTCCCACACTACTTTCCTTCTTTGCCATTAAAATATATCATCACACAAAATACAGTAGTAGAGTAAAAGTGTATATCTGCTGGCAGAATGCCAAGATTTGAACTGACACTGTGTGTGTTGGGTTTTTAACTAATTTCTTTGCGCCTAACCCAACTTAACTTCACAGTGCATACAATGTTCTTGGGGTAGGCCTTTACTGACAGCTCAGAACACAATCTTAATGACAGCTTCAGAACTAAAGTCCAGCAACGTGGCCAATGGAGGAGCTATTTGCCTTATATCAACTTAAAACACACAGAAGACCATGTAGTTTTGCCTTTGGCAATGTCTTGACTGATTCTAGTGGGATTCAATTTCAAATCTAAGTCATTAATTGCATACTTTGGTCTCCAGGTTTATCTTGTTCCTTCTTCCATTCACTCTCCTATCAACTGGCCTCCTCTCGTGTAACAATGGCTTCCCGGCAGGGCACTGAGCTCTGGGCTTCCATGCTCCTCCAGCATTCAGCTTGTCTGCATTTCTCCACTAAATGGTCAGAGGCATCTTAGGTCCACCCAATTGGAAGCATTTGCTTCTACATTACTCCCTTTCTTACTCCTGTCTCGGCACTTTTTCTGTCTCCATGTCACTTAGGAGTTTTAATTAATTTGCTGGTCTACTCGTGCATTTTTGTTCTTTCTCCATAAGGAAGGAACGGAAGCTTCATGAGGACATAGTGTACATCTCTCGTGTTCTTGTTTTCATCCTCAACTAAAACAGCAATGTTAGGCATGGAAAAACAAACCAGAAAGAAAAGGCAAAGAAGAAAGAGGGAACGAGGTCATCCTAGAATTAGAGTCTTTCTGAGATAAAAATAGTATATCCTAAAATGACTATTCTCAAAAGAAACAGAAATTCTAATAAACGTGATGAAAATTCTGAGGAGTAATGTTTCTTCTCGTGATAGGATGGCTGTTCTATTACTTTCAGAAAATGCCCTCCATCTATACAGAGAGAAGTACATTCCTGCCAAGACAAGTTAGTCAGTAAAAATGCTCTTGAGCATCAGCTTATATTACAGGCAATGTATTATAAACACACAAATCCCGAATCTGAGTTACACATTTTTTTTTTTTTTTTTTTTTTTTTTTTTTTTTTTTTTTTTGGTTTTTCGAGACAGGGTTTCTCTGTGTAGCTTTGCGCCTTTTCCTGGAACTCACTTGGTAGCCCAGGCTGGCCTCGAACTCACAGAGATCCGCCTGGCTCTGCCTCCCGAGTGCTGGGATTAAAGGCGTGCGCCACCACCGCCCGGCGAGTTACACATTTTATTCTGAACATTTCACTCAATATAAAGCTGATATACTGGGTCCAAGCGGTGACACACGCTAAGCAAATGAGACTTGCTGTTGCTTACATAAGCGGATTCAGATCACCAAGCAAAATCAAAGCCAAGAATGGCGAGAATGGATTGGAGCCTCTAATGGTTTCATCATCCATAAAAACTGGGTCTTTGCAGTGACACTGTATTAGACATTTGTTCTCACCTAACTCATCTAAAACATACAGAACATCCATCTTGATAGTTGCCATTTAATGTCCCAGACTGAGAAACCTGAAAGAGAACTGTCATGGAGCAATGTGTCACCTTCCCAGTTACATAAGTTGGAGGAGTTCTCCCACGGGATTCTAGGTCAGACTATGTGGATTTACTGTGTGCTATCAAGCATTCCTCTTCCTCACTGGTCCTATTTTTCTGCAGTAAATTTCAGCTAGGGCTTAAAGATGGATATAGGCTACTTGCTCACTTAACATCTTCCTTTATACCAGAAAGCTATTTGCCTGGGTCCTCAGAGGCACACACATAAAGCTGCTGTTGAATCCTTTGTTATTAAGGAGATTTCTTCTCTCTAGTGACAGAAACCAAAGGAAGTGATGGGGTTCTCAGGAGGACAGAGGGTAAGAAAATGTTGTGACCGAACAAACACTCTGCTTCTCACGAGCTTTTTCCTGATCCAGACAGAACCTACATTTGGTTGTAAATGAAGACACGTAGCCGGAAATTTCTCCGGTCCCACTCAGCCCCAAGGTTGGGATGAATATCTTCCACTGGTGGTCCCGCAGCTGCTTATAAAATAATTATTCTGAGGCATGATATTAATTACAAACTTTATGGCTTATGGCTCAAGCTTCTTGCTAGCTAGCTCTTATAACTGAATTCAACCCATCTCTATTAATCTATGTATTGACATGTGTTCCATGGCTTTACCTGTTACATGTCACTCCTTAGGTGGCAGGCTGGTGTCTTCCCTGACTCCGCCCTTCTTCTCTCTCTCGTCTCTGCTTGGATTTTCTACCTGCCTCTAAGCTTCCTTGCCACAGGCCAAAGCTGCTTTCTTTATTAGCCAGTGGGAGCAACACATATATTCACAGCTTACAGAAAGACATCTCACAGTGTACAGAAAGACATCCCACAGCAAAGACATCCAGCTTTCTTAAAATGGTTGTTAGCAGGGTCAGGCAACTCACAGAAAGATATGGTTTTCTTTCCTAATTTCAACCAGCAAATAGTAGAACTTGTGGTGGTTTGAAAGAAAATGGTCCCCAAAAGGAGTAGCACTATTAGGAGGCGTGGCCTTGCTGCAGTAGGTGTGGCCTTGTTGGAGGAAATGTGTCGCTGTGGAGGTGAGCTTTGAGATCTCATATATGCTCAAACCACATCCATCATCTCAGACCACTCCCTGCTGCCTGTGGGATCAAGATGTAGCTCCTTCTCTACTCTCAACTCCTTCTACAGCACCATGTCTGCCTGCCCCCTGCCATGCTCCCCACAATGAACATAATGGACTAAACCTCTGAAACTGCAAGCCGTCCAATTGAATGTTTTCCTTTGTAAGAGTTGCTGTGGTCCTGATGTGAAACTCTTACTAAGACAAAAATCAAATATTTTTTAATACTTTGATTTTCCTTCAAAAGAAGAAAAGAGAAGTTCTAATTTAAGGGCTAGAGTATGTGGGATTCAGTTTAATTTCTTCTTTACCATCTAGAGCAGATGTTCTCAACCAGTGGGTTGCAACCCCCTTTTTGGGGAGGGGGAGTTGAATAAACTTTTCACAGGGGTCACCTAAGACTATCAGAAGTGAATATAATAGTAGCAAAATTATGGTTATGAAGTAGCAATGAAAATAATTTTATAGATGGGGGTCAGCACAACATGAGAAAGTGTATTAAAGGGTTGCAACATTAGGAAGGTTGAGAACCACTATTCTAGAGGTTTTTAGGAATGTCTTAATACTAGAAGACAGAAGAGTTCTTTGGTCAATCACTATGTTATTGAGCAGAACTGGTACATTTATGGTGCTTTCGCTGCCTGGTAAATTATATGATATTAAAATGATGCCAGGCACTCTGTGTGAAGTCCATCAGTTCTGGTGGACTTTCTACTTTGAATTCAAGCTTTCTACTCCACTGAAGATGAAGGGATGAAGGAGTGACAGTTAGAAGCTTACCTATAGGACCAGAGCTGTTCCTTTTCAGGTGGACACTCAACTAAAACTACCAAAGTTGAAGGTGCCATTCAGAAGTACAATAAAAAGAATCCACACATATTGTTTTAAGTTTTTTATTTGCTTATAAAAAAGAATAAAAACAAGTCTTCAAAAACATATCTGCATTTACAAAGCAATCCCTGTAGTCAAGGGGAGGCAAGCCCCGAAACACACTGCTGGACAAATTATTCATTTAATAAAAAGGGTCTCTTTTGTATTGGAGTTGGTAGGAAGTCATTATTTTACATGGATCAAAAACTATTGGAAAACAATCTATTTTTTTAAATTATCAAATCCAAAAAGGCTATATTCTAGCTTTTATTTCTGAATACCCGCGAAACCAGTTACTGAGTGATCTAAGAATTGAACCAATTATTTTAAACAAAAAAAAGAGGTAGTTTCCTCAATGATGGTGGTATTTTAATTATCAGCAAGGTCATTGCCCTGGGTATGGGGTAAGTGACATTAACCATGAATCTCCATAGTCACTCTTTCATGACTGGGGCCCCAATTCCCTCCAATGCAGCCACACATCTCTTATATATTTTGTAAATTGAAATGATCTAACAGAGAAGAGATTCTGGGGTTCAACTTCTCCTTTTCAATTCTTCTCTCAGCACCCTTCTTTGGAAAAAGGCCGAATTATCTGGCATGCAATTAAAACAGCAAAGGGACAAAATTTCAACAGTGTCACAAAAAAAGGGATGGTTTAAAAATACAGTTTTTTAAAACAATAATTAATGATATCTATAGAGGAAATATCGGCTGATGACATGAGCCTTGCCTCCCCCTGCAAAGTAGCATACAAACCACATGACAACATTTTGTAAGTAAAGCTCCAGAAGAGGGCCCGCCACTGCTCTTCAAATGTCTCCTGAGGCCATCAGATGCTCAAGCTCCACAGATCCATGGCCTCCTGCTCATCCTGGACCGGTGTGAACTCAGGCTGATCCGGATGGGACACTAGAGAGGAAAAGTGGGGGTGGGGGCCTGATGGGACCCAGGAACCAGAAATGGATAATCTCTCCTGAGTCCTTAGAGACACAGATTTGGTCAGTAAACCACAAAGGTGCCCTGTGTGAGGAGAAAGCACTCACTGCCTAGCCCACTATGCTCCTTCCCCGTGAGGCTTCATAGTTAGTAAAAGGAGGAAAGGAAAGACAAACTAGAAAAAAAAAAATAATGTCGGAAAACTAGAATCGTGGCCACTTGCTTAAATATTGTACGTTTCATTTACAAAAGAAACCCTGAAATGAAGTAGAATCGTAAGAGAAAGTATAAAATTAAAAACCCAATCTTGTGTTACAAGCCCTTCACCAGGGGAGAGTGGGAAGAGGGTGATCAAGAGAAGAAGGAGAAGCAGAAGAGCCAGGAGGGAAGGTGCTCATCATCTTGTGTGGGATAGGAAAGAGAGACATACAGTTAAGGAACTGTTACAGAGCCTTGGTATAGAGGAGGTTGGGATCAAGTCTTGGTACACACAGAACTCCATTCAGACTGACTCGGGAAGTCAGTTTCTATCACAGTTGACCTATATTTCTTTGTTATGTTTTGATGCTATCACTACAACACGTTTGGTGCAAGGTAGGCAGAGGACTTGAACATGGTGAGGTGGGGAAGCAGTTGAGGCAAGAAAGAGGTGACAGGGTTACAGGCAGGAGCTTAGTAGTGGTGGTGAACTGGTTCTGTATCCATAGCCAGATGCCCAGGTCAATGCAACCAAAGTGCAAGACTGGCACCTCAGTGTTGGTAATCATTGTATGGGATGAGATCTTAGGGGACAGGGGACAGATTTGAGAGGACGAGGACAAGGAGGGAAAAGATGAACAGAGAAAAATACATCAACACAACTTTGACCAATTTCTTGGGCAACTAAGGTTAAATTTCTCTAAAAGCAGAAAAATTTCCATCCACTGACTAATCTATGCACTGACCTATAGCTCTCTTTGGACCTCTCGCATCGTGGTTCAAAAAGGCCCTAGGGTGAGCAGGAAGATTGTTTCATCTCTCAGATTCTCAGTCTAGCCCTTAGTGATGAAGCAAAGACAACATGGCTACTTTGATTCTTAAGATCTCCCTTGTCATCTGGTGGGCAGGATGTCCTCTAAAAGAATCGTGGTGGCCTTACTCATTATGGGGAAGGTCTAAAGTGAAAAGTGAAATTTCACAGGATGTCATGGCCACACCATGACAGGAACAGCATGGAGGATAATAAAATGTTCAACTATATGTGACAAATGACCCAGTAGGAGGCCAAGTCTATGTGGGTCACCATTTGGCAAATATTCTACCACTATGCTATATCCCCAGCCCTGGGGGATTTACATAGACTAGACAGAAAATTGCAGTCTACAGAAGATAACGCAAGGGAGTGAGGAGTCCAGGCTCTGCTACCCTCTCCTAACTGTTGATTTTCAACCCCTCCACAGGTTAGTAGTAACCACTGTATAACTCTGCAAAGCCCACAAGAGGCTGGTACTTACCTCCAACACCGTAGGCAGAACATGATGAGGGGTCACAATATCCAGGCTGGCCAGAAGGACCCTGTGGTCCAGGTACTCCGAGGTGGCCTGGGGGACCCCTTGGTCCAGGAGAGCCAGGTGGCCCTGGACTGCCAGGACGACTTTCTCCTGAAGGTCCTTTGAAGCAAGCAATGATGAAGAGTTTGTCATTTACAACAGCAGAGTGAGTTTTGAGACCACCATGAAGTAAATTAACTTTAAAAGATGTAACAATGAGGGGACCAGCCATTCTACTCATTGTGTACTTTTTCCTAAAGTTGAGTCCCTGAGCAAAGGATCATATCATAATCACATGTTCTCCTCAAAGACAATGCTTGCAATCAGCTCCAACACTGGGGAGCAAAATGTATTCTTCTCTGTGTCCTCTTGGGCATTCAAGGGAAAGGAGTAGGCCATTCTCAAAAACCTCATTTTCTCAATGGAGCTCTTGTTTTCCAATACAGCCCCTCATGAATCCAATGTGTAGGCATGCACATATGTACACACATGAATACATTCAAATCACAGTCTCATAAAGCTAAAATTGTTGTGTAAATTAGTACTGGCTTACATTTTCAGCTAATTAAATTAGTCTAGGTCTAAAAACATCATCCTGGAAAACACAAATGGAAAGTAGTTTAAAATTGGACCCAGTACATTAGTCTAAATTTCCTTAGGCCATCTTACATCAATTAAGAACTTTGAATGGAAATAAGGGATGATTAAAATTTTTTTTTGAGTTCAAGAAATTTGTTGGGTTTGGTTGTTTGGTTTTTCATGCCTATTGAATTTTAGGCCTGGTGTTCCTTAGTTTAAAAAGCATTCTCCAACTAGAAATAAAAGCATTCAACTACATAGAGAGAGGAAGGGGCTTTAGAAGTCCCACCCCTAACTGAGGAGCTATTGGAAATTGAAGGCTGCTGTGAGATAAGTCAGTTTTCTTCCAGGAAGTGACGCCTAAGAGGCTACCCACACTTGAGTAGGTTTTCTTGCTTCTGTATACATGTAGGCAGTACTCAGTGGACTCAGTGGGTTTTTTTTTCTTTTTCTTTTTTTTTTTTTTTTTTGTTTTTTTTTTTGTTTTTTGAGACAGGGTTTCTCTGTGTAGCTTTGCGCCTTTCCTGGAACTCACTTGGTAGCCCAGGCTGGCCTCGAACTCACAGAGATCCGCCTGGCTCTGCCTCCCAAGTGCTGGGATTAAAGGCGTGCGCCACCACCGCCCGGCGGGTTTTTTTTTTTAAGAGCACATGAAGTTGGAAGGAAAAGTGATGTATAGGAGGCAGATAGGGCAGGAATCTGAGAGGGAATGGAGATGGATTTAATCAAAACAAATTATGTGTATATATGAAACATTAAAGCTATGAAAATTAAAATCCCACTCAACTAACATTGAAATGAGATATAGACAAAAGTACAGCTTGCTGTTTGAAGGATGAGAAAGTCTACAAGTACATTCAGTTTCAGTCCACCAGTTCTCATAAACCACCGAAACTGTGGAACACATGACATCAGTTCCTCACACAACCTCTGGTACTAAAAGTACTTACAATTAAGAGGGACCTATTGATTCTGTGTTATCACTTAAAGACATGTTCCAAAACCACTGTTACACTGAAAAGGAAAATCTGTACTCGTTTGACTCAATATGGCTAAGACTAGGGTTGTAAATACAATAGAACACGAGCTCATGTTTCCGGTGACAACTCAGCTCATCTGGAGATAATTTGAAAAGCATGATATTGTACTCAACTCAAAACTTCCACAAAGCTCATTTGGCAAGACAACCACAGCAGGAACCACCAGTATTCTCCAAATTCCCTTGTGTTTCTCTAGATTTCATGCCTCCCTTCCAGTTCAGCTGAGGCTGTGTGACTAGTTCCAGCCAGAGGTGTGTGAATGTGTAGGAGATTGATGGGCTTTTTTCACCTTTTTCTTGGAGAATGCATAACTCATGATGGACATCACATGGTTCAACACAGGGGAGGATTTACCTCAAACACATGAAAATATGCAAATGTGAAGTAAAGTTTCATCGTATCAACAAGCTCCTAGGATGTATGTGTTCCTGTAGCCTTATCTAACTCATTCAGCCAAAATGAACCCAAATGTGCTGTCACTTTTTAGACTGACATCATGGGTGGATTGTGACCAGTGCATTAGCCTTGCAATAAAATAAATAAGAAACACAGTTATTCCTGTTGACACCAGGGTGAAATATGGCTATTTTCTTCACCTAGGAAGTGACCATAAAGAGTTACATCTTATAATTTCTGTTAGGTAGAAAGATTTACCTGCTGGACCAGGGGGACCTCTTGGGCCTTGAGTTCCAATGCCTGGATTTCCTTTTTCTCCTTTGAGACCAGTTAGACCTGTTTCAAAAAAAAAGGGGTGAGGACAGAAGTTCTCTTAAGAATTAAGTCTTGGAAGTTCCATTTTTATGTGTTACAACAGTTCTTTTCTGGGGAGGGCAGTGAAGTTGCGTTAGGGTTACAGGTATCATAGGATTTTTCGGTTAGATTCTAACATGGTGAGTTTGTGCAAAGGCACGTTATAGAAGATCTGCACTGCAATCTGCTCTGTTGCTCTTTCTCCTTCCCACCAAAGTGGCTCAGGCTGCCAGGAACTGGCCCTGTCATTGCATATACCAGACCACTCAGTGTACGCACTTGGCAGTCCACAAATAGCACAATAGGAATCACAAGAGGACATGTCTAACATTTTCCTTTTGGTCCGCCTCATAATATAATCTGCAAAAGGCATGAACTGTAATTAAACAACAAACTTCTGAAGAGTGTGACTTTCCAGTAAGAAGTTGGAAGCCTCAGGAAAGCCTGTGTTTGATTTGGCTGATTCAGTCCCATAAAAAAATCTAAATGTATTTGAGTTTCTTTTCCACTGGGTAGACCTCTTATTCCAAATAATTTACAGGGTTTTTTCCCCCTTTTGAGTTAAGTTCTCACTATGTACCCCTGACTGGGCTGGAACTTACTCTGTAGACCAGGCTAGCCTTGAACTCACAGAGATCTGATTGTTTCTGCCTCCTGAGTGCTGGTGTTAAAGGTGTACACCACAGCACCTGGCTCAAATTTCAGTATTCTTCACATTTTTACAGGTTAAAAACAAAACAAAACACAGAGACACATACTCTGACACATCATTATGCAATCATATTCTACAGCAAGACCACTGGATGGGTGATAGCACCTTTAGGTGTCCCAGCCTCAAACCAAGACAGGTTAGCATTACGTTAGAATTAGGACCCATGGCTCACATGACTCTGTGTTTCAGCTACACAGTGTTCAGGTGCAACAATGCTTTGAAAGATTGGAGTGAAGGACAGCATCTCTCTTGGACCAAATTTACTGAGAAATAATGTCTAATTGAGAGCAGAAGAAAATGTCAATAAATCAGAATGGTAAGCTTGATAGGTAGTAGTAATATAAAGGATTTATAAGTTCAAATTACAATAACTTTTTCCTGATCATGAATATTCACTGTAGACAAATTTGAAATCATAATAATCAAGAATTCTGACAGCTGAAAATAATGTTTTCACATGTTAGTTTCTAAGCTTTAAAAAGAAAAGTGTCAGTATAGTATTTGTTCTAGAAATAATGAGGAAGGATGAAGGTAGTTAATGATGAAGTTTTTAAACAATGCATATAGAATGACTGGCTATGCAGTTTGGATAGATTCTGTAATCCTAGTCATTATCTCTTAGGATCAAAATACCATGGCATCTCTGAAATAAAAATCTCTTCTTTCTGGGCAACAGTCATCCAGTGAGCCAACTACACCAGCACTTCCCAACACCCATTCCTGCTGCCCATGACCTTGGTGGTGCTAAGTGAATCCACGAAAGATCAGTCCTTCTCTCACCAACGCGGGTAGAACCACCATGCTCTCCCTATCTGTCCACATCCAGTTGAGATCTGACTAGCCTTTTGGAAGTCCACAGGGAGGTAAAGATTTCTCAAAGGTAAACCTGTCGTCTCTGAGTTTCAGTAGTCTTCATTTCGTACTCAGCTAACCAAGTTGCCAGACAGGAAACCACCCTACACAAGTGTGGTTAGTTACTTTGGTGTCACAGTGACCAAAATATCGGACAGAAGCATGTTAAAGGAGAGAAGGATCATTGAGGCTCATGGTTTCGGGAGTGTGGGTCCTTCAAGGTGGAAAGGTATGACAGAATTCAAGGTGGCAGCAGTGTGGAGCAGGGTCTGCTCACACTGTGATGAACCAGGAAGTGAAGTGGGGTGGCCAGAACTCGGGGTAGACATAACCTCCAAAGCCCTACTTGACTCCTAAAGTCTCTACTGTCTTCAAAACTGCCCTGTAAGTGGCGGCCAAACACAAAAACCATGAGCCTCTCAAGACATTTCAGATCCAACCCACTTGTAGACCATCTACTGCACGTTAGTTTAGAAGCTAACTACAGTTAGTTCTTTCGATTGGATGGGGTCCCCACTTGTCAATGTCTGTGTCCTAAAATGTATTTTGGTATTTAGTGACAATCCCTCTTCTTCTGTCAGAAGTTACACGACTTTCCCTACAGGGATCCTCTAATTGTGAAGGAATTAAAACATAATAAAATGCTGATGACTAAATGCTAAGCTGCTCCTCATTATCATCTCCCATGACTCAGAGACCTCTCATGACCTTATGCTACAAGCGCAACTTGACTTGCTCTCAGCAGAAGACAGATTAGCTTAAAGGGAACTCCAGGAAAGTGCCCTCGGGAACAGCTCCCCAATTCCCTGACTTATTCATTAGAAAGAAAGGGGCAAGGGGGGTTAAAAGTAACAAATTTGGTTGTTTTGATTTTGTAAATCTACAGAGAAAAGTAGATATAATTCGGCGCTATCTGCAATGCAAATAATAGCAACTGATAGAAAACCTCACAAAAATATCCAGCCCATTGAAATGTCTCAGAAAAGATGAAGACTGTGAAGATACAAGTCCATATTGTTAGGGAAATTCGGGTTTTATTGTCCTTGAAGTTATTGTATAATCCATACTCAATTTTTTTGTGTACATATGTGATTCCCATAATGGAGAGTATTCATGCCCACCATACCTGTGCTTGACTGTAGGTCTCATTCATTCATTCATTCATTCATTCATTCTCTCTCTCTCTCTCTCTCTCTCTCTCTCTCTCTCTCTCTCTCTCTCTCTCTCCCTTTCTTTCTCTCCCTCCCCTCTCTAGGATTGAAATCAAAGTGCAAGTTTACACAGATCTGCAGATGGACCTGGAGATGCTTTTGTACACCTTGTAGACCTGGTTAAAAAGCAGGAGAACCAAGTGTCCTAAAACATGTGTCCACAGCAGCTCATAAGGTGGTTAAGTCCCCAGAGCTGGGTGTGAATAAATTCTTTACAGAAAAAACACAGTCACAGTTCATAACAAAGATTTTTGCAAGGACCCAAGATGAGGCCACTTGATAATGAGATGGGGCCACCCAAGCTAGGTGCCAGTGCCCTTTCTAGGGAGATGCTGGGATTCCTTAGTACAGGAGATATTCCCTCCTCAGTAACCATTTCCCTTGTTTGCCTCTATTGCGATTTATTCCTCACTCTTTTTCCTTTTGTTGAGACAGGGTCTCACTGTATAGCATTGGCTGGCTGGAAATTCACTCTGTAGACCAGGCTGGCCTCAAACTCACAGAGATCTACATGTCTCTACTTCCCAAGTGCTGGGATTAAAGGTGTGCATCAGCATGCCTAGATAGTCCTCTTTCTTAAATTATCAACTCAACCCGTCTTCATAATTGTAATAAGCAGAGTCGCCATGAGTCCAAGAGATCAAGGGTTACCTATCTTATTTGTGGTGACATTTTATTGGTGTCTTCCACACAATATGTAAATTAAGAAAAGTTTGTTGCATGAACTAACAAATGAATGGATGAATTTTCTGCTTGCATGGCTTCCCCACAGCCTTTGCTAACTCTGACCCATCATATTGTTTATTCTCATTTCCATCTTGCCCCCAAACTAGAGCCTTTTGACTGCTGGCATCATACATATTGAGCTCTCTTGACTCAGACCAAATGAGAGTCTCACAATGAATAGGTGAGACTATATATACTGGAACGTTTTATTCAGTTCTGTGCCCTTGGCCACCCCAAGCACTCCAGTATATACAGGATATATAGTATATACAGGATGAAACCTAAGTGAATGTATGTTTAGATCAACACTTAAATATGTATAACAAGCAAGCATGATCTCTGAAGGATGGATAGTCACAATTCCTTAGGTTGAGGCTTTAGCTCTGATCTTCTCACTCTTAAATTTTGTAAAACTGATTTTTAAAAATTTAGTGCCTCATGGGTGATGGTGGCACACGCCTGTAATCCCTGCACTTGGGAGGCAGAGGAAGGCAGATCTCTGTGAATTTAAGGACAATCTGGTCTACAAAGTGAGTTCCAGGACAGCCAGGATTGTTACACAGAGAAGCCTTGTCTTGAAAAAAAATATCTAGTCCCCTATGTGCCTGTAATCCTAGCACTCGGTGTTATAGGCAGTGATCATAATTTAAGGGCAGCCTCAGTGACACAGTCTCAAAAGAAAATTATTCTGTGTAATTAATATCCATCATATTTTTAAATGATTGTTGAACTACTGGGTGAATGATTGACATGCCAAGTCCCATTGTAGGCTTTGTAAAGGAAAAAATGTGGCTGGCAGTTTATCAGGTATTCTTCTAGACTATTTCACTAGGTCATAAATGCCAGGTAGTTTATGTATGTAAGCTCACTTTTAGTCTTCACAAGAACCAATAAGGCTGTTGTTACTACTATCCCTGAAAGGGGGCTGTAAAACCGAGGCCAAGTTACCTGTCCTTAAGTAGGGCAAGAGAACGCAAAAGCAATGCATTACCACCTCTCCAACCGATGCTGGTCCTGTAGCCTATGTCTGTTCTTGATAGGTTGTGCTTTCTCAAGCCTGCCAGATGGTCTGCATGTTCCCTCTCCCATCAAATCAGCAATCACCCTTGAGTTTATTAGCATGTTTCCTCTTGCTCACTTGCCCTCTGCTCTTAGTGAGACTCAGGGCCGAATTTAAAAGGATTTCTCTTACTTACACTGACTACATGTCCTGTGTCTGGCCTTTGTTGTCTGTTTCCTATTTTCTTTGGCCCATTGGCCTTCAGCTTGGAACGTTTTATTCAGTTCTGTGCCCTTGGCCACCCCAAGCACTCCAGGCAGGAATCTCATGCAACTCTAAGGAGCAGAATCACTTCTTCCTGAGCCGAGACATTCGGAGAAACTCCTGGGATTGCTGCCTAGGCAGATATGCAAGGCCTGGGGAATGCTTTCCATGTCATTATACTAAAAGCCAGAGACTGTGAAGCAAGGCTTCAGCTGTG